ATTGTTTAGATGTATATAGCATCACAGAATGGCCAGGGTTGCAAAGTGCTCATCCACTTCCAACCCCCTGCTGTGTGCAGGTCGCCAACCAGCAGCCCAGGCTGCCCAGAGCCACATCCAGCCTGGCCTTGAATGCCTGCAGGGATGGGGCATCCACAGCCTCCTTGGGCAACCTGTGCCAGTGCCTCCCCACCCTCTGGCTGAAAAACTTCCTCCTCATATCCAACCTAAACCTCCCATATCTAACTGAGATAACTGTGATGCAGAGAGCTCCAGCCTTTCTGCTATTTTCTTCCCCTCACCCCATTTATAGCTTATTTTATTTTATTTTTGGTGGCATTTCTGCTAAAATTCAGTATCCTATGCCAGACTTTCACCTCCGCTTGTAGTTGTTCAATGCACACACTTGTTATTTGTGCTTATTTTGCACCTACGCTCTGTCGGGCAGGAGTCCCCATGCTAAGGTGTCTGCCACAGTAATTGTCTGGGCAAAGCTCCAGGTTTGGATCATAATTTTGGAAGCTCTTTAGGAACCACAGTATCTGCAGAGGAGTTGTGTCTTCACAGCCAGCGCATGCCTGGATTTTGAGGACCTGTGCTCCTATCTCATCTCCTGGTGTTTGCTTGCCATTTCCACAGCAAAGCACGAACACTGTAGTGTAATTGCCTGGGTACAGGGCCAGAGTTTTGTGTGACAGAGGAAGTAAGGCTCACAGTGGGTGATTTCCCCACACCCCAAGTCCTGGTGATGCTGACACAGAGGCAGTGCTGGTCTTTTCAGATGGCCCAGGAGAGCAGGAAGGGGCAGGAGGGGGTCTGGAGCAAGGACATCATTATTTATTGTATTTATGATGTAGAATGTGTAATTTCTCTCCTACTATTAGCCGTGTGAGAGAATTATTTTGTTCCAGGCTCTGTTCTCATTGCTTTTCACTGGTGCCAGGTATAAAATTTCGTTTTTTTGGATGTTCTTGAGATCTGTGCATAGGACGAAACTGCCCACTGCTTTTTGACTTTTATCACAAATGAACCTGTGCAGCAAGTCCCAATCCATTATTTCACTGCTGTTTTCTGATGTTCAGTTCAATTCCATTTTCAGATCTTTTATAATTTAATAAGTAACCAAAGACCCCAACGCCCAGCAGGTTTCTGTGGCTGGTATTACAGCAGGTAAAGCTAATGCACTCCAAGAGCTTAGGCTGGGGGTTTTCTAAATATGTATTTATTTCTGCTGCTGCATCTTTCACTGTTTTCACATCCACCTTTGTCTAAAGAAACACACACCACACACAGAGCAGAGAGGTTATCTAGCAAATGGAGAAAATCTGTAGATGCATCCTTAAAGAATTGGGGAGATTTAGATTGGATATAAGAAAGAAGGGCAGTGAGGCACTGCACAGGCTGCCCAGAGAGGTGATGCTGCCCCATTCCTGCAGACACCCAAGGTCAGGGGATGGGCTGTGAGCACAGACGGAGCTGTGGGTGTCCCTGTGCACTGCAGGCAGTGGGACCAGAGGGCATTTAAAGGCCCCTTCCAACTGAAGCCATTCTCTAGTTCCATGGTTCCAGCCTGGTGAAGTCTATTGGGCCAAACAAATATTCATTACAGCCCCGCCAGCCATTTAGAGGGAGGAGTTGCACTGGGAGCGAAGAATAAAGTTTGTTGCATTGTCTTTGCAAATCAGGATTTTCATCTTCATGAAGAAATATAATCAGAGCCTATCTAGTTGTTTTTTTTTTTTTTTTTTTTCCAAGATACTTTGAACAAAATAATTGAGCAGGAAAACCTCTTGGGCCTTCATTTCTCAAAATATTAAAATTGCAATGTAAATTATCTTATGCCTGGAGCAAAATCTTATAAAATGTCAGGGTTGTCATGGTTTTAAATACACAAGCAGTCAATTCTTTATCAACTCATATTGGAATTTTAGTCATCCAGATAAATTGTTCTTTTGCACAGACACACCATTCAGACACACACAGAGAGCTTTTTGGGGGAGGCATAAAAAGAACCCACTGGGTTCTTTTTATGGGTATTGCAGAGATCTGCAGCTCCTGGCTTCTGGAAACATCTGTGAAAGGAGTCAGTAATGTCTTCAGAGCAAACCCACCTGGGTATGGGGAACGTACTTATGTAAAAAGATGTGAGTGTGTAGAACGATTTTTGCTACTGCATCCATTTAAATTTTTGTCTTGGTGTAACTAATGGGTACGGCAGTCGACCGTGGTGAAGAAACATTAAAGAAGCACTGTCTGGCTCCTTCTAAATAATAGACCTTCAAAAAAAAATCGACTTGTGAGCAAATCTCTGAATACAAAACTTGTCTTGGAGATGGCTGTGGTTTGAACACTGCACCCTGTGCAAGGCAATGGAATGTGACTACCTCCTCCTAACAGCACTGGGACCTGAAGTGCTGCTGGGGCATCCCTGGGTGGCTGGGTGCAACTTCATCCCTGCTGGGAAAGTTTTTCCCAGGATCTAATTCATAAGAGTGCTGATAGATGTAACAGAAGCGAAAGCATCCCATATGCCAGGCATGGGATGAGTTGTAGTTTGTTCATCTTGCTTGTGAGGCATTTTTGGGAACTAAATGACCATTCAAGCCAAGGTTGTTGTGAGTGGAGAAGCAGTCTTGCATAGATATGCAGTGCCAGGGCCCAGTAATTTTCCCAAAATTTTGCATGATGCTTCTTATAGCTCTGTTGGACACTAAGGCAAAAGTGGCTGAGATCCCTGAGGCTCTTTACAAGCACCAGTCTGGTAATTCATGTCAAAAATGTTGACAAGGTGTTGGCTTATATCTCATCTAATTTCACCAGTTAGAGGAACGTTCCTTCAGTGTTTTGTCTGTTTTGCTCATCTGGGACCTCCTACAGGAGATGGCAGAACTTGTGCAGAGGTGGGTCCTTCCCTCTTACTGTTGTACTAAAAACTGTAGGTGCGCACACAGAAGGCATTGCATGTATTGTGTCCATGGCAGATGCTGGTTTACAGCTGGATTAAATCAAATTATACACAGCATAAACAATTCCCTGATGTCCTCCCTTGTCTCTGATGTCCTGGATGAGCTTACAGTTTCCAGGGAAAGGACATTCTTGCAACATCTGTGTTGGTTTGTCTTTCTTGTACTCATAGAATCATGGAATCATAGAATCCTTAGAGTTGGAAGGGATGTTTAGAGGTCATCTAGTCCAACTCCCCTGCAGTGAATAGGGACATCCAAAGCTCCATCACGTTGCTCAGAGCCTCAACTTCTCTATTGTGCTTTTTTGCTCCCGAAGTGCAATACCATTAACATCTTAGTGACCACATGTAAATGTCTTCATTGTGTAGGCCTCCAAGAACAGCTAGTTTGCACTTCCTTTTCTGTTTAATGCCTCCTCTGATGAATTCTGCATTTGGATCTCCTGTGTCTCTTTTGGCAGCTTATTTACCAGCAGTGTTTGGCTGTGTTTTACACCTATCTGTAATATCCCACCCGCAGTAATGAAGGCTCTGATTTAATCTACCTTTCCTTGTGTTGCTGATTAAATGAGGGAGTAGGAGAGAGACTGCAGTACACGACCATCTCATTTTTGCAAAATGAATTGTTTAAGCACAAAATGGTGTTGTTTCAGTTATGCTCAACACAACCATATTGGTATTTTTTCTGTGCTAAGAGGTATCTCAGGTGGATGCAGTTATGTTTGGAGGTGTGTATCTCACACTGTTGACTGCAGAGAAGATGGAGACAGTTTGGCTTAGGAAACTAACTTAAAATTTCTAAGGTAGCTTTAAGACCAAACCCATTTATTGAAATGCTTCACAGAATCACACAATGGCTAGGATTGGAAGGGACCTCAAGGATCATGAATCTCCAACCCCCCTGCCACATGCAGGGCCACCATCCTCCCCATTTAATACCAGCCTAGGCTGCCCAGGGCCGCATCCAACCTGGCCTTGAACACCTCCAGGGATGGACGGAGCAATGGGTTGAACAGTTTGGGAGCAAATGCAACTCAAACCATCCTGTCATGGTACTTCTCTGCTGGGATGGGCGGCTCAAGCTTTTGAATCTCCTGGGTAGATCTGCTCCTTACTGCAGCACAGTGAGCAGTGACAAGAGAAATCACTGGAGGTTTTTCTAAGCAGGCTGATCCTGAGCAGGACAGTGCTGACCTCTGCTCAGCACGCTGTTTTTTAGCTCGTTGATGCGTTATTGAACCGCTCGTAGTTACTGTGTCAAAGAAAGCCAATTTGTACCCTGGCAGATTGACATCTGGTTCTAGATGGCAGCAGCCTTTCTGTCAGTGATTGGAATGATTGTTCTTAGTGTGCATTGTCAGAAAATGACGTTCTTGCTGATATCTCTGAAGCGACTTCCATTTACTCTGGAGCTAAACAGAGATTGTCAGGCCCAAGCTGACAAGTTGTTTTCCTCTTCCGGGAAGAAATCTCTCTGCCTCCAGTGATAGAGGCTGGCAGCATTGATGCTGCTGGGGGGGGCAGCTGCCAAGTGAGAGGCTCTGCAGCTCTTCATATCAGCCTTTCCCCTGTTTGGTGAACCCAGCACCACGGTCCCCTTTGGAATTATTAGGAGGGAGCCCAGCAGCGGCCACAGCTTGGTGTCACCATGTTACTGCAGCATTCTGCACAGCCCATCATTAGCTCATCCTTCATCAGGCTTTGCCAGCCAAGCAGCAACATGGAAGCACAGACGTAAGATCTGCAAGTGGAGTCTCCTTCTAAGATTACATATTCTCCCACCTAATGATCAGAATGTTTCAGCTTCAGTCACTCAGGGAGGAGATTTGAAAAAACTTCAGACCATTCTAACTACATGCAAGCTATTTTTTAAGGAACATTTAAGCTTTTCTTGAATTGCTCACAAAGTTTTATCAAAACATCTGTTGGCAACGTCATTCTTTTGTATCTCCCCAGCAATTTTGTACTTTACTCTTTATAAAAAAGTTGGTGAATTGGAAATAATTTCAGATTTTTTGACTCTTTCCTGTTACAGTGATGACCACGTAATGGTGGAGAAAGCAGCAATCCCAGTGACTCTTCCATCACACAGTGAAACTGGTCTCCAATGACTGAAATGGATACTGCTGAACATGGTATGGGCTTGTGAGTTCTCTAAAGCATTCAAACTACAGAGAATTACTTTAAATGTTACTCGCCCTGCTTGAATTTCTCCCTAATCCAGTCCTCCTAGATATTTGCACTCCTTTTCCTAACACTGTCAGCATGGTTTTAAGGAGCAGTATGCTGGATTGATGTAGGTTTGCTCTTTTCTTAGTAAAAGCCAGGTTATAACAAAGATGAACGCAGTTTCCTCTTTGCTTCCATTAGACCAGCCTCTTGGGTTTGATACCTACATTATCTGCGTAACTTCCTGCAGTCATCAGAAGTATGGTGTCACAGTTCCATGAAACCGTGACATACAGGGAAGACTCTGCATTTCTTTAATGAAGTTGGATGTGTAGCTACATGAATTTAAGTTATTGGAATGATCCCCTTTTTTTCATAAGGCTGAGTACTGTCATATCTGCACTACACAGTTGGTAAGAGCCAAGAGTTCATTATTGACACTCCGTGTTTGCTCTAAAATATCAAAGCTTATTCTCTTCTTATTCTGAAAGTGCAGAAAGAAAATCTCAGACATGACAAAATAATAAAAATGCTTCAGTGATCTGCAAAAGCTTCATGGTTTAATAAATTGAGGGGAGACAACATGTCAGAAAGTGCCAGCTGCTATTGGGGTGATATCTGTATTTCATTAGTTATTATTAAATGCTGGAGAAGAAAGTCGAGAAGCAGGAGTGAGTGATACAATTTGGCACTGATTGTGATTTCTGTAGTTTGATACAGAGCTGCATGGGTGCTCAAATGTGTAATACTAAGCCATCAAAATAATAGGTGGGAACATGCTTAGTAAGAGTGAAGGGGCTACAGGGTGCACAGAGCTTTCAGTACCATTACCAGCTTTTTTGCTTGGGAGGCAATACATCCTGGAGCACTCCTTTGGAGTACTCATACTTCTTCACTGTTTTCTGTTCTCTAGGACCCTCTTTGGGAACAACAGGGAATTAAGCACATGAAGGCAGGGAAAACAGTACTTTTAGAGGGCAAAATTCATGTTTGGCACTTCAGCAAGGAACGAACAGCCCACAAAGAAGGGAAATGACAATGAATGAGCTTGTGGAATAAATCAGTTAAGTGTAGTGTCACATCCTGGGCAGAACCAAAGCGTGGGCTGCTCACTTTAGAAGCTGCTGTGCTTGCTGTGATTATTAATTCATATTCTTTTACTTGGAGCATATATACATACCCAGAAAAGAACACATGGGGGAAATGTGCATTTTTTTTAATAGAAGACCTAAAAAAATAAACAGATCTGCTATCATTTCAGTTTCTTGATATCTACAGATGGCTGTGAACAAATTGTAAAATAGCACCCCATGATACATTGCCCCTAAGAACATAGAATCACATCACAGAACGGCCTGGGTTGCACAGGAGCACAGTGCTCATTCAGCTCCAACCCCCTGCTGTGTGCAGGTCACCAACCAGCAGCCCAGGCTGCCCAGAGCCACATCCAGCCTGGCCTTGAATGCCTGCAGGGATGGGGCATCCACAGCCTCCTTGGGCAACCTGTGCCAGTGCCTCACCACCCTCTGGGTGGTGAAAAATGTAAAAAACATGACTGAGATAATTTCATTTATTGTATCTCCAAGAACTTGCTGGCCTGGACATAATGTTATCTTGTGGCTATACACCACAACAGCTTCTTTATTGGGAGCTGCTTGAATTTAAGCATTTGCAAGGTGTCTGAAGGTTTCTTTCCAAGTATTGTTTCAGGTGACATGGGACAAAAGCACAAGCTACTGGTGTATGGGTTAGATACAGACAGGTGTTATTCTGTGGGGTGTATGAAGATGGTTTGTGAAGGACATCAATCTTTTCCACCACATCTATTCTACATTGTTTCGTAGCAGGGCTGCAATTGTAGACGTGAATGATAACATAGATTTCCTTGCCAGATATTCTCAGCAATATTCTCAGTGTTGCTCTTCATCAGATAACAAAATAAAATCAAATGTTCACTGCATCTTTTTAGCTATACCTCATATAAACGTGGAAATTATCTAAAACCAAAATTTCCTGGCGTGGCAAGAGCTCCTCATCTGTTGGGAAGTGTTGTTTGGTGCTAAGAGCAGTGGTCCCTTACTTTCACTGTTGCTTTGGCTGCCAGAGTACTTTGGTTTTATTAGAGCTGATTCCTGTCTATTTCACTTTCATTACTGCTACATTGCCAGTGCCTGAGCACTTCACAAAGGACATCAGTTTTATTATCCTTATTTACAATAGGAAGATTTAGACAGAGTGGTGGAACTTCGTAAGTGTCCCCCATATTTGCTTTGTTCCCAGAATGAAGCAATCAGGGGTTGGCTTCTGCTTTAATGTAATCCCATGACAAATATTCCTGTGAGTGGCCCTCAATTCTGGGGGGAAATGGATTATACCCAGTAACAAGAACACCATAAGAAGTGGCCATCAGTAATATTTCTTGCCAAGATGTATTTTTTTCTGAAGAGTAGTGTTCCTAAATGTATGGCAAGCTGACTCCAGCTGGGGTTAAGGGGAAATCTGTCCCCCTCTGGTGAGTCTTGCTTTTTTTGAAGGATGCTGGCCAGCCCTGGGAGATGCAGAATTATGGAGATGGGTTGGTGCATTCAAGGAGAGGCATTTGTTACAACTGGACCTTATTTGTGGATCCAAATTTCAATATATAACTAGTTAATGAGCGAGGCGGAGGCTTCCCGAAGGTAGAGGAAAGTTTGCAAGGACATACACAAGAAAAGCTGCTTTTCTGTAGGGAAGGTATTTGTTTGCAAAGCAACACACCAAGCTTTCTGATGGAGCAAAACTCAGAGAGCACAGCCTTAAACAAATGTCGCTGATGGGGATGAATACAGACAATACAGGGACTGAATCTGATTTCATCCCCTTCTTGATGACTTTTCTGCACAGCTTGGTTGCACACAAAGAAGAAAGAAGGGCTTTTCTTCTGGGAGATGTGAAGCAGACATCTCTAGTCCTAGTTCCTGCTTCTGGCAGGTATGGCTCCAGAAATACCCTTTTCATGTGGCTTTCCCTATTCTTGAGATTAACTTCTTGTTTGTCTAGGTTTGAGGTTATAAGTGTGAGATTATAGAAGTGCTTGGCCTTGCAGATATTTCTTAGCTAGAGTCATCAGCTAACTCAAATCCTCTTTCAAGATCAGCCGTAACTCCTTTCCCTCCACTCCACCCACTCCATGGGGGTATTTGCACGAACATTTATTGCATGCTTGATAACAGCTTTGCTGCACAGAGACCCAGTGTTTTATCAGCTGTGCTTCTCCAACAGATCCTTTCCTTGTGAAGGCTTTGGTGTTCTGTGGGAGATGTGAAGGGTTTTACTTGTTTTCTTCCTGCATCAAAGGTCTGGTAATTCAGCAGATCACCACTAGCAGCAGGCTGCTCTATTAGATGTGGAACTTCCTATTCTCACAGCATGCTCTCTGCAGAAGTACTCTTCAATCCTAAGAAACAAGGGCCCTCAGCACTCTCTGCAGCAGATCCCTATTGCTCTACCAGATACTTGTTTGAAATAGCTGCATGCTGCATCTGGATATGATTTGGTTGATGGCTGCTGTACTTACTATAATCACAGAATTGTAGGGGTTGCAAGGCAGCTCAAGAGATCATTGAGTCCATACACCATATAAGGTGTGTATTTGTTGAGCTGAGAAGCTCCCAGGCTCGATAGAGTGGCTTCTTCTGTGTTGTGGCCCCCTTCCATCTCAGCGCTACTGCTTTGAATGCTCTTTGAAGGAAGGGTGAGATGACTTGGCCTGTTTTTGTGACTGCTTTGGGTCTGTAGATAATTCTGCTCTCTACAAGCTGCTTTCTTCCAACCCATCTCACCCTTGTAGATCCTTCTTTAGGCTGTTGAGAGTCATCCTTATCCCTGGAGGTTTACAAGAACCATGGACATGTGGCACAGAGGCATACAGTCACTGGATATGGTGGAGATGGGTTGGGGTTGGACTTGATGATCTGAGAGGTCTTTTCCAATCATAACAATATTTAAACAAATCTCTTGACTGTACGAATCAGCTGAGCTTTGAGTGTTTTATTCCTAACTCCAAGGCATTTCTGTGGCTACAGTGGTTTCCACCCACCTATTTTAGATGGCTGATAGCAGTTCCTGAGGGTGGACAACCCTCTGCTAAAAGGGAAGCCTGAAGAACCAGGCTGAAGTTGTGCAGAGTGATGAAGATTAGTGGAAGGGTATATCCTTGGGGAGATGGAGTCAGAGGTAACTCTTCCTTAATGAGAAGCAGAGTCCAGATTGCAAGCAAAGGAAACAAAAAGAAAAATTACATCGTTTGATGGTAACTTAATTAAGTATCGGGCTCCCTGAGTACAATAGTACCCTGTCGATGGCATTGACTATATGGTGCCATCAGCAGTTTTAATTCCTTCATTATTGAAATGATCCAGTACGGGGTAGAAAGGAGAGGGCTCAGCTGTGCTGCTCTCATTGGAGAAGAACACTGGGAGCAAAGAGGGCAATAAATTACAGCAGTCTGCTGCCACCAGCGGCTGTGCACTATTAAACCACTAATTTTGGTCTGACTTGGTAAGAGCACAGTGCTGCTGACTGCTGCGTTCCTGGGTTTCAACTAAAGTGCTTTCCATTAGCAATGATGAGGATATATTGACTTGAACTGGAAGAATAATTGTCTCCTGCACATTAAACTGGCTCCTCACATTCACCCTCTGGTGAACTGCTCTGCTATGGGGACATCGTTGTTCCTATTTGGTTCCTGCTGACTTTCTACTTCTTAATGAATGCACGGCCACCCTAGCTGCAGTGTGTGATGGAATACCTTCTCTTTTTGCCATAGATATGGCTAGAGCAAGACTGTATTTTGCACACAGTCTTGAAGTGGTGATCTCTAATTACTGTCATATTCAGCTGTACAAATGGATGTTTTGCTTTGTTCCGTTAGAGAAGGAACTTAATTACAGAGCTGTGGATGTTGTGCTCGCACTGCCAGCACGTTCTACAATAGGAGATTCATTAGAAAAGCTGTTTCGTGGTACAGGCAACATTCCCTCTGCTCTGCCCATGCATTAAGCCATCGAGAAACATAAATTTTAACCTATTATGAATACAAAAACTTAGAAATCAGCTCGAGTTTCACACACTTGCATGGATGGCTCAAAATGCAGAAAACAAGCTCAGTCTTGGCTATAGTATGATACACACACTTTGTCAATCCATTTAATCTGTGTTTATGATTATCAGCTCTAATAATAGTGACCAAATAAGCAATTATCGAGGATGAGTTGGCATGGGCTTAAGACAGAAATGCAATGTGAGTAATCTGAGTCTTGAAAATTAAAATTGTTTCACTCTAATTTCAATAACAGTTATAATGAAATGCTTGAGAGGATGTGTATTAAGCTGGAAGGCTGCAAATGCCTCTGTAGCTCATCCATAAATGCAACTGAACATCAGTATCAAACTGAAACAAGGAGTGGAGAGGATCTCTGGAGCTCCCTTGGTTTCTGGGGGCAGCATCAAATGGAAAATCGATCATCAAAAGGTTGGGCAGCAATTTCTATTCTGCTTACGTTAGTTGGGGATGCAGAAAACATCAGGTTGTGCTGGAAGAGCTGCAGTAAGATTTTGGATGGTGAGAAACTCATCTTTCTGTCACAAAGTTTTGGTCCATGTCCTCTGAGGCTTTTACAATTATTTTAAAATGATTTATCTAAAAAAAAAAAAAAATGATTTTCAGAGCACTTTCTGCATTCTTACTTCTTCCTTGCCTCTGCTCTAAATCCTGGCAATATTTGCAGTGCCAGCACAATGTGGCCACAACTGTCTGTGTCCATTGGCTGTGTCTTGTTTTCCTCAGATGTACTCTCAGTACTGCAACAGGGTCCAGGACTGCTCAGTTCCTCCATCCAGTTGGATTCCTGGGATCACCAGGGCTTCCCCAGCCTGCTGGTGTCCATCAGCCTCATCTCTGTGGATATGAGTCCTGCTATGGAGATGGGTAATGTCCACCTTGGCTGCAGAGAGCAGGTGGGGCTGTGACTTGAGCAAAAACTGCAATAACAGCTCCCCACTTGTCCTGCCACCAGCTTCTACTCAGTCTGGCTCTTCTTAATCCTGCAACAGCCCAACGACACCAGTCCATCTGAGCAGTAATGTCAGGCAGCTGGGTCCCATCACATAACCCTACTTGGCTGGGGTGATTAGTGAAGGCTTCAGCATCTGGAAGACTTGTGCACTGCCCTATCCAGAACAGATTTTCTGATATATCTGTCACTTTGACCTGAGCCAAGAACATAATATATCATCAGGTGTCCACCTGTTGTTCAAATCTCCTCTTTCAGACCCAGCCAGCATCTGGCAGTGCAGCTGTGAGAGTCTGGCAGGCTGCTGCCATGCAGCACCGAGAGAGAGGGCTTAATTGGTGGGATGAAAATGAGAAATAATGCAAAAATGTTCAACCATCCCTAAAAGTCATTATCAGCTGAGATCTATGAAGAGGCAATGGTTGGAAATCAAAGATGCCCTTCGCATGTTTGCAACCAGGTCCGTGCTCAGCAGCTGCAGTGGCAAGGCCAGGCTGGGCATTAACAGAAGCAGATCAAATTGTCCAATTATCCCAATTTCCTGTTGGCCTCATCTCAGAAAAGAACTGAGGTATGCTGGTGCTTGATATGGAGCAGAAGGCATGTGGTGTCCTCAGGCACGTTAGTGACTCTAGGTCCCGTTTTGCTCCTTGACACACATCTCATTTATGTATTTTAAACAAAATCTTCTGAAGTATTATTTGTAGTGCTTTTGGACTTGCCAGGACCTGCTGAAAAGTGATGTATCCCTTCAACAATGGAGCTCTGATGGCATTTTCCATCAATTCATCATGCCCAAATCACATCTTGATGATGTATGACATTGATACATCATCAGAAAAGCAGTTTTCTGGTCACTGGAGCTTTAATGATGTATTTGTGTGAACTCTGAGCAAAAGGCGATCCTTCTGCAAATATATTGTAACCAGTCCTGCTTGGCAAAAGTGTGCTGTAGAAAGCAAAGCCTAGATTTCCTACAGTGAGCTGGAGATGGGAGATGTATCTTTGGCCCCAACGTGTGCAGTGCTGACGTGAGGATGAATGTGAGAGTAAAGCTCCTTGGGAGTCCGCTTGTTGTTGCAAACTGATTTGGGGGCTTGTGTCAGCTGAACTGAAATGCAGGGTATTAAATGCCACTTCTGTTTGCTTGAGCTGGGTAAAAGACATGGGATAGAGACTAGCTTAAAGGCTGATTTTCTTGTGGCCCGGAAAGCAACAAAGAAAACACTGTTATCTTGCATCTATGTGCTCAGCAGTTCTTCAGCCAGATGGTGTGAAGGTGTTCAGTACAGCTAAGTATTTCATTTGGTATCTCAAAATGGTTTTCTCTGTGTTATTCCAGGGGTGTCTCTTTTAAGGCAGTTCAGTTCCATATCTTTTGTGTTTTACAGACCATGTTCACCATCGGATACAATCTGGAACCAGTGCTTGAAACATCTTCAGCCTCGTGTTATTGTGTACACTCATCCAAAGGCGGTACTCTTCTGGACTACTGCACTTTGCCAAAGTTCTGTTGGTAATAGTCTTCTTCTTCTAGAGTTGTTCCCTTACTGTGTGACAAGCGTAGCATGCTTCACTGGTACTATGAGGGCATCTTTTGTCAGCACAGGCTGCTGCATGATGGAGATGATGGGGAGTGTTTGCATCGGATTCAAGTATTTTTCTATCAGACTTGTCCTTTCGAAGTATGATTAGCGACCATGTGAACCCCACTGGTTTTCCATTTCAGGAAAGCTTTTTAGTTTTTGAAGATAATCTTCTTAACTCTTTGCTACCAGGGAGCTCACAGCAGAGGGACTGTTCTGTAGGCTGCAGGCCAGGCAGTACTGCACAATAAAATGGAAGTAACACTATGCAGCAGTGGTGTGAAATCTTGTTTGATTTTGATGGATGCACTGTTGGTGAGGCACCAGAATGCCCAGAATCAGGTCTTTATTTCAACATTTCCAGAGTTCATGTCCCCGCCTCCAGTTGTGTGCTGCAAATAACCTTGTTTTGGAGCAATGTTTCTTCTCCCCTCTCATTCTTTACATCTCTCCAGCTGGAAATCTGTGTATGACTGTCTACATAGCTCTTCTGGGAATAAACCCTACCTGCCCTGCTTTAGCAGGGAGTAAGACAAGCTGATGCCAAGAACCATCCCAACCTCGATGACCCCATGTGAACTTCAAGAAATATCATCATTATCAGTGTAAGAATGGTAACTTTAAAGCAGGGAGAGGAAAGTCTGAGAGGTGGCTGTAAACATAGAGGCACCCAGGAGGCATCTTTTGCCTGGACCTGAGTAGATCCCCAGTGAGAAGTGCAGGTGGCAATGGATCCTGGCTGACGTATAGGTGGATGTTTTGACTTGGTTCACATTTTATAGCAAGTGGTAGTTTGGCAGCTAAGCTGAGGGAACAGAATGGGGCATCTTCTTTCTCGAGGAGGGCTGAATAGGGCCAAATCCTTGGGAAAAGCAGAATTCACTAACCCTACTTTAGATAAGTTTTGAGTCTTGCTGTGTAAGCTATTCACCTTGGGCTTGTTTACAGCCAATGGAGTAGAACTGCTGCCTTCAAAAAGTGATTCATCTCTTCCTCCAGCAGATGTCTAAGGTAAATCAGATAAATCATCCCTTGCAAGGATTGTCTTTGAACTCTAAGAGTGAGGAAGAGCAGCAAAGTTAGAAGTATAACTACTGGTCATGTGAAATTGAGACATATCTTACCTATTTTGTAAGTTCCATAAATACTACAGGTATTAATGGTGTTTTGTACCGACAGAAGTTTCTAGTATCACTTAAAGAAATACCTCAAAACCTACTGGTTGTTTTTTTTTTTTTCCTCCAAAGCTCCTTCTCCACCCCCTCTCCTTCTGCCCTCCTATAATTCTCCTCAAACTTTATCAGCAAAGTTGTTTTTCTGACTGGAAGATCTTTTATTCTCACTAGACTGGGTATCCAGTCTGGGCTATAAGTGGGAGAAGAAATAGTTAGCCTGAGTAACTTGTGACTGAGCCCAGAGCAAAACACAGAGGGAGAAGATTAGCTGCCAATGAGTAATTCAAGCTCCTAAACAAGACAGGAGATAAAGAGAAGAGGGTAACAGCTGGGTGATGAGTAAGCAGAGGCACTACCAGCCTCAAACAATGAACTAGGAAGATTATTACGGGGATCTTTTGCTTGGAGCAAAGGAAAGCTGAACATATCCCCTCAGTGGAGCATCCTCAGTTTCCCAAAAGGGCAGGTTGTGCTACCCGAGGCTGCCTGCCTTGTTACTAAGGCAGGTATTAGAGTACAGCTGCTTGCTCTGATAGGTGGCCAAAGAATGTATTTACAGGAGACAAGAAGTTACTTTGCTTAGATTTTACAGAGGGACCTGGCTTGATCTGTGTGAAACATCAAGTGTGAATAAAAGATGATTCAGTGCAATTATACCTCACTGGTAATTGCTGTTAGAAGACCTTGGGACAGCAAAATTGTCCTTTGTTTTTGTTTTCTGAACATTCTGGGAAGAATTTTGTAGCATATAAATCACTGCCCAGGCACTGTAGCCACCAGAGCTGCGTTGATTTCTATTGCAGTGACAACAAATGGCTCTGGAAGTGTCCCCCACTGATGGGCTGAGAATTGCTTGAATAATCATAGAATAATTTAGGTTGGGAAAGCCCTTCAAGATCATGAAGCTCAACCATCAACCTGACCTACTGAGCCCCATCAACAAACCCTGTCCCTTAGTGCATGCCCACACATCTCTTAAATACCTCCAGGGTTGGGAAATTCCACCACTTCCTTGGTATCCCATTCCAATGCTTAACAATCCTCTCCATGAAGAAAGTCTTCTTAATATCCAGTCTAAACCTCCCGGGTGCAATTTGGGACAGTTTGCTGGTGCTCTATATCCAGATGTGATCAGGAAGTCACCTCTGTTATGTACTAGCATCTCAGTAAGTCTTCCAGTATGCATTCTGTGATGTGTTTTCCTTGTGAACTGAATTCTCCACAGCTCTCACATAATATTGAACAAAAACCAGGTAGGATATAAAGTTAAATGAAAGATTTCTTTTTATTTTGTGTTGGAGGAAGGGCAGGGTGGGGTATATCCTTCTTTGTAATGACAAACAGAAAGGAAAAAAGATTGGGCAACTCTTGTAACTTTGGGTTTGTGGTTACTGTTCAGCTTTTAAGTAGAAAATCAAGCGTTGGCTCAAAATATTCTGCATACAGCAGCGTATCTTACCGTGTAATGCCATGACAGGCTAATTGTTGATAATCACTGTAAACTAGCAATGATGGATGGGGCAGAGAAAAGGGATGGAGCAGGGTGACCTTGAAGCATTCAAAGGTAAAAAGACTCAAGGGCTCAATTATCCCTTTCCCTGCACTTCCTTGGGTACCTCAGTTCTCACCAAATTAAGGCAGAGCTTGGCTCTATTTCCCAAACTTTCTGTACACTCTATTTCAGGTTGTCTGTAGGGAATCACAGTAATCAGCCCAATGTGTCAGCAACCTGCAGTTCTGCAGAATGATCCCCTCATAACAAATCTGGAGAGCACAGAACCGCACCAAAGGACTTATGACACAAAATACCTGAACGTTGTGTAAAATCAGAACATACGGTGGAGCAATCCAGATATTTCTATATTGCCAAACTAGGCAGCATCCTTTCTAGATGTGTGGAAGCTATATGCACTGTTACTGCTCCAGGTGTGCTACTTGGGATATATTTTGAGATGACAGTGGGTATGACAGCACTATTTGTGCCTGGAAGAGTCCCAGGAACTCGCATAACCCAAAGTCTGTGAAGTATGTCACAGAGAGCAATTGGGGTGTTAATTTGCCTGGATGCTTTGATGAAGAAAGTCTGTTGAAAGGAATGGATGACACAAGAGTTAAGAATCACCATCTTGTCCTGCAAGTGATGTCTTTTAATTTCAAGAATACGAGTTGACAAATGGATCTGTACCACAAGAGCCATTGTGATTGTGTCTGAAATGCCTTCCCAGAGCATAGTGCACCTGCTATGAGAGCCTCCTGGAGTACAGTTTTATCTAATTGTGACGAGGATGATTATGAAATGCATCCATTACTTAGATTGCGTGAGTCCCATCAACACTGAGATCTATTGTGCTGAGAAAGATGCACGCACCAAATACTTCTTTTTAGCAAATTCACAAGGAAACAAGAATGGATGAAAGGTAGGGGCTGGTAGGAGAAATATGTATTGTGAGGAAGTATAGGGCTCATGACAACTTTTGCTATTATGCTCATGTCTTTGCTATATGGTAAAACTTTAAAAGTGCTTTAATTAAGTTTAAATCCCCAGAACAGGAGTTGAGTAAGAAATGTATTTATCAACATTAGAATGACTCTTCTCGTAACTGTGATTCTAGATTTTTTTAAAAATGCTAAATATCATATTTCCTGGCAAAGAAAACAGGAGAATTTATATATTTCTTGTAGAAGCATACGCTATTACAGCTTCTGTAATTGGATGATCTGAATAGAGAAAGGCAGCTTCCTAAGTGCAAAAAGATACTTGAAAGGCGACTGACAACAGGATTTTATTAATATGGATTAAGTCTTTCATTTTTTTCACGTGTGGAGTTCTTATAATAGAGCATAGGTTAAAGCAGCAGCTGTCATACACAGTATACCATGATAATTATGAACTTGATGGATAAGAGAGCTCTGCATATAAGTCATGAAAAACCTCTGTTGGGATGAAGCAGTTCAACGTGGATATGCAAGAAGGAAGCAACAGCAAAGGCTAGGTCTGAAGCTTCACTTGTGCTGTCTACGACCTCAGATGGAGCCAGGAGAGCACCAGCCTCACCTTGCTGATTGTACTCTTCCTATCAGCTCAGTGTCAAGAAAGAGGCACGAAGATTTAAAGCCTCGGCGATAAGGGTCTCCAGCTGGAAATGCATTTCTATTACGCATTTATAGCAATGTGATATTGCCTGTTAACCAAATGGAATTTAAACCACTTGAGCCATTGTGAGATGCAATTTTCATGCCCTAATACTAATTTCCATTGATCATTTTTATGACGCAATCATCGTCTTTGTAAGGTTCCACTTTTGCTGCAAACTTGATGCCGCCATAATTTAGCAGTGTAATAACCTGTGAATTACTAACGAGGCAGCCTAAGGACCTGTGCATGGCTGTCATTTGAAGCCAGTCTGGGCAGCCCATCAGCCCTTCTGGGCTACCAGCAGTACTTGCTGCATCCAGAGTGCAGCTACAAAATATTTATGGAATCTAATATCGAGGTGAGCTGCAGTCACACAACTGGGAGCAGGGCTTTCAAATGTGGATAGAGGCGGTGTAATCACAGCCATACCTGGAAGGGCATTATTTTGTCTCTCACTGGAAGAGATTTAGTGCAAACAGTAAACAGTGATTGTATATCAAATGGCACAGAGGGAGTGGAAGAGGTTTTAAATCCTGGAGGGCAGGTGATGGTTTTATTGGGATACAGACACAGGGGTCGGGAGGCTGTCCTGTATAAGCTGGCTGGAATCGAGGAATTAATAGAAGCACTGGTGGAAAGTCCAGCTTCACCAGTAGCCTTGAAGAGTTCTGATTCCACGTATGTGGCTGGTAGCACTCGTGGTGCTATTTGTGTACACAGATAAAAAATCT